ACACACACACACCTTGAGGGCATTAAGTTTCTTATTAAGTCATAAGGCTAAAATAACAACCCGAGTCATCAGTAATTTTAATTTATGCTTGTAGGATACCAGTGGAGTCATGCTGACTGGAAATGTACTGTTATTAACTAGTTTAAAATTTGGGTTTTTTTTCCTCTTCTCAAAGCAAGTTTAGATATTCATTTTCTTCCCCTGTGTACCTTAGAAAAGAATTTGTAAGTTATGCTAAAATATCCAATGTCTCCCTCTCCAGTTTTACCTCTCAAGATTCAATAGAATTATTACAGAATAAAAGTAAGTTTTCCTTTATTGTTGTTGTTGTTAGGTGTCACTGAGTCCACTCCCTCTTATAGTGGTCCTGTGTGTAACAGACCAAATCTTGCCTCATCCTGCCCCATTCTCACAGTCTCTGATCACAATCACTTTGTCGGTTAATCTACTTGAGGGTGTCCCCCTCTTTTATGGGCCTTCTACTTTTGCAAGAATGATACATTTTTCCAAGGACTACACTCCTCCACCCCAAAATAATGCTCTACATATGTGAGACAAAATCTTACCATTATTTACTTTTATCAAGTGGCTGCACTTTGTACAAGACAGATTTGTTTGTTTTTTTGCCAATTCACAGTACATTGAATACTCTTTGTCAATACCACAATTCAAAAGTATCAATATTTTTTTTAGTCTTCCTTATTCATTGCCTTTCACATACATATAAAATATTTGAAAAATACTATGGCTTGTAACATCATATTCCTATATAAATGATAAACTGGGTAGTCATTTGATGTTTTCCTCAACAGTTCAGTTGTGTAGGTGAACATTTGTTATGAGGAATATTTTGAATGTCTACTTTGGAGCTAATAGTTTTCTAGGCCCTGAATTAAAACCTGTTGCCATCAAGCTGATTCCAGTTCATAATGACCCTGTAGGACAGGGTAGAATTTCCCCATAGAGCTTCCAAGACTGTAAACCTTTACAGAAGCAGACTCCCTTGTCTTTCTTGTCAAGAATTAAGGTGTGGGAGCTCTGGTGGCCTAGTGGCAAGAAGCTGCACTGTAATCCCAGAGGTACATGTTTCAAATCCATCAGATGCTGTGCTAGAGAAGAGGGGCATTCTCGTCCTGGTACACACACATACAAATACTAAATTTTTTTTAAGAAGGAAAAACATTGAGGCATGACTAAAAGTTTCAAATGATCCACCTTTTTAAAAAATTTTAAATTTCTTTTAATGAAAGTTTACAGAGACTGGATTTCCATTCATTCACTGTTGCACATTTCTCCCTGCCCACCCCTCCCCCACAATTTGCTTTTCTTATTGAAAAGTAAAAAAAAAAATTCTTTCGTCGTTGTTTAATCCCTTCCCCCAAGTGTGCTCCACTATGTTACCTTCGTTCTGGACTCCTGTCATAACAATAATATCTAATCGTATATCCCTTTTAAACAGTTCTCTCTCTCATCTGTTTCAATGCAGTATACATTATTTATCCCACTGTCCACCTTTTAATTGTTGTTGTTGTTATGTGCTGTCAAGTCACTTGCTACTCATAATGACCCTGTGTGCAACAGCCCTAAACCCTGCTCTGTCCCTTGCCAATCTTACTACCTCAAACACGCCTATCCCCATTACTCAGGTGATGGAATTAACCCATCTCATTGAGGGTCTTCCTCTCATGCACTGTCCCTCCACCCTCCCAAGCATGACGTCCCTCTCTAAGAACCGGTTCTGCCTTGCAACATGGCCAAATTAAGCAGCCTGTCTTCACCCTCTCCAGGATGAACTTGTTTGTTCTCCTAGCAGTCCATGATATATTCTCCTAGCAGGCCATGATATATTCAATACCCTTCTCCAGCACCAAAGCTCAAAGGCATTAATTCTCCTTCTATCATCCCTAGTCATTGCCCAGCTCTCTGAAGCATAGCAAGTTATGGCAAAGAGCATGGCCTGTATCAGGCATACCTTAATCTTCAAACTGACATCATTGCTCCTTAGAACCTTGGAGAAGTCTCTGACAGCAGACTTTCCCAGTGAAATTCATCTTTTAATTTCCTGGTTGCTGGTACCAGGAGTGTTGATTGTAGACCCACGCAAACTAAAGCTCTCAACAGTATCAGTCTCTTCACCTATCATCATACTGCCAGTCGACCTAGTGGTGGGAATCTTTGTCTTCTTGACTGTGATCTTCAATCCATAACGAAGGCTCAAATTCTTGACCTTCTGCAGCAAGCGCTTCAGGTCCTCCTGAGTTTCAGCAAGTAGGGTTGTGTCATCTGCATAATGCAGATTGTTGATAAGTCTACCTCTAATCCTGATGCCACACTTCTCCTCATAGAACCCAGCCTCCTGAATAATCTGTTTTGCATGTAGATTGAAAATATATGGAGATAGAACACATACTTGACACACACCCTTCCCAGTTTTGAACCATGCAGTGTTTCCTTGCTCTCTTCTGATGACTGCCTCCTGGTCCAAATATAAGTTTCGCTTAAGCAAAATCACATGTTCTAGGATTCCCATTCCTCTCAAAGTCAGCCACAGCTTGTTGTGATTCATATAGTCAAATACTTTTGCATAGTGAATGAAACACAGACCTTCCTCTGGTACTCTCTGCTTTCAGCCAAGATCCACCTGTGCCATGGCCTCTTCTAAATCCAGCCTACACCTCAGGCAGTCCTCTGTTAATGTGCTGTTCTAGTTGTTTTTGGATGATCTTCAGCAGAATCATTCTTGCATGTGATATCAATGATATTGTTCAATAATTTCCACACTCTGTTGGATCACCTTTCTTTGAAATGGAAATAAATATAGATCTCTTCCAGTTGGTAGGCCAGGTTGTTGTTTTTGCTTCTGAATTAATGCCATAGCACCACCAGAGTTTTTAGGCCCTAAATGAGTACCAATATTACTGCTAAGTCTAATGATGGAGACAGAATTAATACATGAGACAGTACTGAAGCTGAAACTCGTAAGGTGAATGTTTTTGTATATGCATTTAAAGTTCTTTGGGAAATTAATAACCATTAACCTGACCAGTGAGATCAGAATTTATTCCTGCCATGTTTTTGTTGTGTACTATCAAGTTGGAACCAACCCTCTGATGAATTTTCAGAGGCAGTAAATCTCACAAGAGAAGATTGACAATCTTTCTCCATGAAGCAGCTGTTGGATTCGAACTGTGTGCCTTTGGAATTGAAGTGCGACTTCTTGCCACTAGATCACCAGAGCTCCCAAGAAGTGTGAATTGGATCAGTCATTTCATTCTCCTGAGATTTAATTTTTTCATTTATAGGGGGAAAAGATGCCATTTTTAAAGTCCCATCCTGTTATACAGAGTTGTGAATTCTAAGCTGTCAGTATTATAATTAAGTCAAGAAATAACTTTTCAGGTAAAAGGGACAATGTGAATACTGTAGTGTCCTTATATAACTGAATTCTGTTCACTTACTGCTCTCAAGTCATAGCTGACTCAGCTGACCTGCCGTTGGATTTCCAAGGCTGTGAGTATCTTTCACTCAGGGAGCTGCAGGTAGGTTTCAACTGCCGTAGAAGCAAAGCCTTTGAGTTAGCAGTGCAGTTCTCTGCAGACTGACTATGCCACCAAAGCTCCCCATTTGAGTGCTAGGATTCAACAAATGATCCAGGTACTAGTTTTTATTGCGAATTTATCAGTATTTTCCAATTAATGGAATATTGAGATATATATCTTAAAGAAAGAAGAACATTAGTGTCATTCTCTAAACCTTTTTATAAAAGACATCAATGTTTATTTCTTTGTCATTTGTTTTGTCTTCCCTGTCCCCTGTAATTAAAAATTTATAGGGCCAATATTGGAAGCCATCAGAACCACCCAGTCCTGTCAGTGAAAGATATGTGCTTTACAAGAATTGGGCTACATTTTCCCACTTTTATAAGGAACAGCCTCTGCATTTGATTAAGTAAGTTTCTTATACAAGATTGAAACTGATGGGATGATTTTTATTCCAAAGGGTCTCAAATTTATCATATGTAGCATTTTTCATCACAAATATCTCTCTGCTATTCTGCTATTTTCTTAAGATACTACTCATAGAGGATTTCATTTAACACTTATTTTCCCCCTTTTCATTCACTATCAAAACAGAAGAAAACCTATTTCCAAACATGTTCATTTACAAGTGTAGGGGTTCTACAGCAGGAAATGTGAGAAGACTTCCATAGTTAGTAAATGAAGCACTGCTTACCCTCAGGCAGCTCACATCTACCAGTAATTCCAATAAGATGTGCAAAACCTTCCTGTACAATTTACAGCCTCAGGAACCCATTGAAAGATCAGCTTTGAGTTGGTTCTAACACATTGCAATGAGTGTGATATAATTTAAAAAACAGAATTCAGACAAAAGCAGTACAAACAAACAACTGCAACAAAAATTATTTTCTGATACTGAACAAAACATTTTCTGGTTTCTTAAGTGGAACTCAGTTTAAAGAAAAACAAAACACTACAAAACTTGTTTTGTCTCTTAAGCATTTACACCAAGCAAGACCATCAGTTCTAAGCTTTTTGTAAAGCAAAGGCTAAGCTTTCTGTTTTGTAGTACTTGTATGAAGCAGTAGTTTTGAATTACTCAGTCTGTTTCCTATCTCATAAACCAGAGATAAAACTTGGAAAGAAACAAGTATATGCCTGCCTCACTCTCATCTAACTAATGTGAACAAAGTACTTTCTCCACTTGAAAACTAATGTGAAGCAAAACTTTGTGCTCATTACAAATGTGGGTTTGATTTGTCAAATTAATTTTGAGAACTTCTTTTGCAAAACAGTGTGCAACTTCTTTCTGAACTGTTTAAACAAGCCTTAAAACTTGCAGACCTTTCAAAGAACGTTATTAAAAATGGAAACCCAAGTTACAGACACTGGACTTGCTCCTCTTACGTCTGAATACTTTTAATCTTTCTACTAATTCACTAAAATACTCATCATCCTATTTTTAAAGACGTAGAAACTAACCTTAGAATTTCCCAAAATTGCACATTAAAAAAGCAACAGAGCTAGTTAGAATCCCAGCCAGCCTGAAGACAAAACCAGAACTTGTAAGACTCCAGCTTTCCTCTAGTCTCTGATTCTATATTACCATCTTTTATAGACAATATTATGGAGAAAAAATTGGCATCTATTTTGTCTTTCTTGGATATTACACAGAAATGCTGTCCTATGCAGCTGTGGTTGGATTCGTCTGCTTTGTTTATGGCTTATTATCAATGGAAAGCAACTCAAGCAGGTAAGTGTAACCGACTTACCCGAGTAGAGAAACTATCTCAGTCTTATGCTAACTGGAACTATTATTATTAATTCTTTGGTATTTGCTTCAGGATGATTTCTCAAAGGAGCCGATAACTGACGATAGTTCTATGGCCACTGACAGATTACTTAGCACAAAAAAGGCTCAAACATATCAGTTGCTTTCGGCTGGCTTTTTGTGGACACTTTTTATTGGTTTGAACGATTCCGTTTTTCATAGCATTCCTGGAGCTACTGCAGTGCTGCTGCCTTAGAATCCCTTCAGCTTTAGAAGCTATATAAAGAGTTCTGATAAGAATAGCTTTAGACTTTAACCTAAACAAACACAAATTACTTTTCAAACAATTATTTCTGTTAACTCTGCAGCCGTGAAATCTGTGACCCTAATATTGGCGGTCAGATACTCATGTGCCCACTCTGTGACAAATTGTGTGATTTTTGGAGACTAAATTCTACATGTTTGGCCTCTAAAGTATGTATGCATTGTGACATGTTAAAAAAAACCAGAATTTTCTTCTTTCTCTATTGGATTTTAAACTAAGTGTTCTCTGTGGTGGTGTTACTTTTTGCAGATCTCCCATTTATTTGATAATGAATCAACAGTGTTCTTTGCAATATTCATGGGAATTTGGGGTAAGTACGTGGTCTCTCATCAACTCAGTTTTACCTATTGTATGTTATATGGCCTAATCATACATTACCTTTGGATGACATGTATTCTCTATCAACACTGGGTTTTGATTTCTGTGCTTTTGCATCAGTGCATTGATAAAGTGTGGCTTAAATGGTGATCACAGAAATATCAAAATTTCTGCTCTTTTCTGCGAGGTACATTATCATTTTTGAAACTTAAGATGTGCTTGAAGCCCACCAGCTCCTGATTGCTGAAACAAGAATCTTACAATTCACAGCTGATTCTACTTACGACTCTAGAAATCAAATATCTTTGTTAAGCTTTCTGGAATTAAGTAACCTGTTTTTTTTGTTTGTTTTTGTTTTTGTTTTTTTTACCGTGGCACTAGAAAAAAGTATGTTTCAAATGCATCTTAGGCCTCCCTAGCAACAAGCCCAAAGTATGTGAGGTAAACTTTCATCACTCTTGCCTCTGGCTGCACTCTTTCCAAGACCTATCTCTAATAACTAGAAAAAATACGAACCATTAAGCAACAAATGGCTGAAATGGAGAAGAGAGAAATAAGAATTCTTAGGCTTATCTTTCCATTTCTTATTTTCATATGTAGTCACTCTGTTTTTGGAGTTTTGGAAACAACGACAAATAAAACTGGAATATGAGTGGGACATGGTCGATTTTGAAGAGGAACAGCAACAACTTCAGCTGAGGCCTGAATTTGAAGCTATGTGTAAAGACAGGAAATTGAATCCAGTCACTAAGGTAACTTAGGAAACTGAGAAATGAGTTACATGTTCAACATAAAGGGAGCTCTGGTGGCCTAGTGGTAAGAAGCTGGGCTGCAATCCCGAAAGCAAGCAGTTTGAATCCATCAACTGCTCTGGGGGAGAAGGACAGGCAGTTGCCTTCCATGCAATTTATTGCCTCTGAAAACTGGCTAGAGGGTCAGCTGTGGGTCAGTTTCGACTCGACGGTACACAAGAACAACAACATTCCGCATAAACATTACTATAGCTTGTCTTTCAAATACTAATAAAATGCATATTTTAGTTTGGCTTTAAATTCTTGTGCCTAAATCTTATGAGCAATTTGTTTCTGAAAATAAAACAAACAAAATATGTATACTTTTGTTGTTGTTATGGAAACCCATTGTTGTCAAGTTGATTTTGACTCATAGTGACCATATAGTACCGAGTACCTCTGGTAGTCTAGTGGTGAGAAACTGTGCCGCCCACCAGCTGCTCTACGGGAGAAGGATGGGCAGTGTTCTTCTTTGTGATTAACTGCCTCTGAAAACCCATGGCAGGGTCAACTATGGGTCAGTTCCAACTCAACAGTACACAGCAACAACAACAGAACATTTCATGGAATTTTGAAGGCTTTTTTTGTCTTTACGGAAGCAGATTCTTAACCTTTTTCTCCTATGAAGCAGCTTGTGGGTTCGAATTGCCAAATTTTTGGTTAGCAATCAGTCACTGAACCACCTTAATTATCATCAGAGCTATACAGAAGGTATATGCGTGTATATGTATGAAAATGTCCAAATACATGTTTAAAATTGAATAGAACAATATATATGATAAACCACATGACTCCGTTACACAAATCTCATAATTATTCACTCATAAGCAGCCTTTTTTTAATTTTTGCTCTACTCCTACTACCATAATGTACCATCTGAAGTAAATCAGATTATGTGTAATGAAATAGATATTTTTAATATTAACTGAAAAATATTGTGAGAAATAGTATGTATCTATTTACATAATATATGCATAATTTATACATACATTGTTGTTGTTATAAAAATAACACAATTGTTGTTGTGTCATCGAGTTGCCTGCGACTCACAGCAACCCTATGTACAACATCCCTAAACCCTGTTCCATCCTGTTGCCAGTCTGTCTCCGGCACACCTACCCCCATTACCCCAGTCACTGAATCACTCTATCTCATTGAGGGTCTTCCTTTCCTGCTCTGTCCCTCCACCCTCCTAAGCATGACGTCCCTCTCCAAGGACTGGTCCCTCCTTGCAAAATTTCCAAAGTAGGTCAGAAAAAGATTCAGAAACCTTGCCTCCAAGGAGCAGCCTATTCTCACCCTCTCTAGGATGAACTTGTTTATTCTCCTAGTAGTCCATGGTGTAGTCAATACTCTTCTCCAGCACCACAGCTCAATGGCATCAATCTGTCTGTCATCTGTAGTCATGGTCCAGCTTGCTGATGCATGACAAGTAATTGCAAAGACCGTGGCCTGTATCAGGTGCACCTTAGTCTCCAGACTGACATCGTTCGTTGCTCCTCAGTACTTTGGAGAAGTCTCTGACAGCAGATTTTCACAGTTCAATTAGCCTTTTAATTTTCCAGCTGTTGGTACCAAGTATGTTGATTATGGAGCCAAGCAAACCGAAGCTGTTAACAATCTCAATCATTTCACCATCTATTATGATGCTGCTAATTGGCCCAGTTGTGAGAATCTTTGTTTTCTTGATGTTGAGCTTCAATCCATAATGAAGACTGCTGTTCTTGACTTTCTACAACAAGCACTTCCAGATCCTCCTCAATTTCAGCAGCAAGCTTGTGTCATCTGCGTAACTCGGATTTTAGATGAATCTTCTTTAATCCTGATGCCACATTTCTCCTCATAGAACCCAGCCTCCTTGATAATCTGTCTTCATATAGATTGAAAAGGTATGGAAATAGGACACATTCTTGGTGTACATCCTTCCCAATTTTGAACCATGCAGTGTTTCCTTGCTCGGCTCTGATGACTGCCTCCTGGTCCAAGTATAGGTTTTGTATAAGCACTGTCAAGTGTTCTGGGATTCCCATTCTTCTCAGAGTCAGCCGCAGTTTGTTGTGTCAAATGCGTTTGCATAGCAAATGAAACACAGACATTCTTCTGGTACTCTCTGCTCTCAGCCAAGACCCATCTAACATTAGCTATAATATCCTTAGTACCATGGTCTCTTCTAAACCCAGCCTGCACTTCAGGCAATTCTCTGTTGATGTACTGTTCCAGTTGTTTTTGCACAATCTTCAGCAGAATCATGCTTTCATGTAATATCTATGATACTGTCCAATAATTTCCACCCTCTGTTGGATCACCTTTCTTTGGAGTGGGAACAAATATAAATCTCTTCCAGTCAGTTGGCCAGTTGG